GTAATAATTTACATACCGAAAGGTTTCTGCTCCTTTGTACTAATGCAGTATCAGTTACCATGGTCCTTTCTTCCCACACTTTGGACCGGAACTGAACATCCACTGGGAAAAGGTGTCCCTCCGTACTGAACACATATTTGCTGAAGTGTTTGTTCACATAATTGTCTTTATCAAATAACTGCAAAAGAAACTGCACTGTATGCACATTCAACACTGTGGAGAGAAAGATATCTACTGTGTGAAGAGGCTGGAAAGATTAATTTACAGTAATTTTGCTCTCTCGGTAACAATACTCACCAGATATAGGTACTTGCATGTCTCGCTTAAGAAGAAACTTTCCATACGGTCCTCCAAGCTCTTATCCAACACACTGTGCACAGTTGCATACCCACACTCTGCCCTAGTGAAATTGTTTAGGCTTTGTAAGATATCCATACCTACATGCAAGTAAAATGGATTCCTGGTTGCCTGAAAATTATCAAAACACAATGATGACAACAACAAAAATCATAAAAACAAAGCATATGTCAAATTAATAGTTAAAACAGAAATATTGTACACTTGGTGCCAACACCTGAAACGAACTGCTGCCAAGGAAACAAGCCCTCAAATACATCTATTTCAAAGTGCTGAATGCCCCATCTGAGTACCACGAAGCAATACTGAAGATAGCACAGGACAGGCACATAGTAACCAGTTTCTCCTTCCGGCAGCCCTGGTTTAATCCCAGGTCAGGTGGACAAAGTGACACTGGCGCAGGTTTTCAACAAATACATCAGGTCCCCTGCCAATTCTCATGCCACCAACTGCTAAATATTCTGTAATCATCCTACCATTGATGCTATATTGCCTTGATACTCTAATGTATTTGATCAATGCGTTGCCAGGCAACAGCTCTGTAAACATGATCCAGCACACAATACATGAGGCTGTGTTTTCTATGTCGTCCACGCCATACCCGGCATCGGTAACGGGCCAGTGAACTTGCATGTTTTTGTGCGTGGTCCGTGCAGAGAGGATATGAGAGAATACGGGAATGG